CACAGGGAGGGAGAGCTTCAGGGCAGCATGATCTGGCAGACCAAGCTATGGACTGAGAAGAAAGGACTAAACTCAGCTTGACACTGATTTCTTCCACATCCTGCACGAAACCACAAAAGCAAATCTATGCAAACTCAAGCAGCCACACCAATTACCTACTGCTGCCCCTGACTTGAATATGTGTTCTAAGGGCACTTCAGTTTTTCAAGATCTGCTTCAAAGATCACTCTTGGCAGTGGAAGACTCCCAGTGTTGGCCACATTAATATGGATCATGCCATGCATTTCAGTAACAGATTTAAAAATGCAGTGCACAAAGAGACTAATACTGTTTCCCATTACACATACGTCTGTGGTAGTATGTCTGTACTTTTATGAGCATGCATATGCATTTTCCTCTGTAAGTATTATGTAAAATTGGGAAACACACTGTGTAACAGTTCTGTATCTCCCAGGGACTGGGCTAAATAGTTTCAGTGCACAGGAATTTGACTGCAGAACTACGGGTGATTTTTGTTGTTGTTGTTGTTGGTTTTTTGCCACCAAGTGTCCATGATGTGAGAGTTCCTTGACTGTGTAGAAATTTACAGGAATTGTTAGAAAGATTTTTTTCAAAGAGCTTGGCACTGGCACAGGTATTTGAATAAAGAGAGGACAGAGATACCAGTAAATGGAACTGGTGCTTGGAAGAAACATAACGTAAGCAGCTTGGAAATTCTGAATACAGAGATGCTTTGCTAGAGCTCCAAGCTTGGACTTGTGTTGTTGCCTTTATTGTCCAAATTAACAACAGGAATGACATAAGCAGTAAATGAGGTCTAGGATCTGTGTCTACACATTTCCTTCCAACAGCAGATTTCTGAAAAGTGGCAAAGGTTCAATCACTCTGCAACATCTCAGAATCTGAACTAGGTGTTAATCATTCACAAATGTCCATATATGCTGCATCTAACACCATATCCCATTATCCTGTACGCCCCATTATCCTATACTTTCTGCAAAAAACATGTATGATAGGTCTGAGTTTAGGCTGATGACATCATGGAAGAGTGGTCACGTCAATATGTGATGTAGAGGAGCGAGATCAATTTTGTATAGGCCACGCATAGTACAAAGGAACTCACTGTTTATATTTTATAGCATTTAAAAACATAGACTACAGTGATAATGAGTGAAAAGTGACAATGCAACTTTTTTTAAAAGATCTTCTCTGAGGATCTACACCAGCTATATAAATAATGTCATAAAGAATCATACATTAAATTATTACTGGCCCAGAACTCATCATTTTTGGTCCCGGTAAGGGGAAGAAGCTCCTGTGGTTATCATGCATGTGTAAGATGTAGGTTGGCACCATACCTTTGAGCACACAAGTATACAAAGCTTTGACAAATCTATCTATATATATTTATAGATCATGCAATCAACCACTAGCCAACTACATAGTAAAAGTACTCTCATTCCTCACCTTCCTTGCTACTTAAAGCAAAATATTTTATTTTTTTATGGCACAGTCAATGATAATGTAAGTGCATCACTATATTAAGGGCAGTGCTTTTAACCTTTATTCTCTACACATTTTTCAGTTCATTCAAGTCAATGAGAATTCTGTATGTGAAAGAACATCAGAGTGGTATGAGTAGGATGTTATTGTCTGAGCCACTGAAACTCACAAATGTAGCTGTGCTATAAAGATGATGCTAAAGGTAACTGCTCTGTTTTTTATAGACATAATAATTGCAACAAACAGTTTTTTTCAAATATAGGCAAATTATGAACTGCAGCCCTAATGTTGCTCTTATTTTTGGTAGTTTCTTTAACAGAAAAAACTCACTTTCTATCACTATAGATGACATAAAATACAAGGTAAAATAATAGAAGTTTGCTAAATCCCTTTTCAATTTCCAGCAGATAATTTTGGACATGATATGGGACAAACTGCAGATACCTGAGGTACTCAAATACTAAAGCTGACAATTTTTGTTTATAATTACTTAACCTCCTGGAATATGATCATCACTTAAGTTATAAATCTAGACTGATACGTGTATTTTCATCAACTTTTACAGCAACAGAAAAAGAAGACATCTTTTCAGTGTTTATATCCTCACTTAATTCTGCTTGTTATAAAGTCCTAAACTTGTTACACAATTTCTTTGCTATGCAGGAAAAACTCCATAAAACCCCCCTTCAAAATGTGTTTCTTATTAGGCAGTTACATAAAAATACCTATGATTTACTGATATGCATTTTGTCTAGATCAGATTAGTTTATCTCTTTCCTCTATCCAGATTTAAGTACTTTAAAAATGCACAGCTACAGCCCTTTATTGGTAGGATTTGCAAAACAAATTTCATTTTTGACAGCACTAGCAAAACTAAGCATCAAAATATAAGCTATTAAGTAGTGCATGTAATGTTCACATTAAGAAATCAGTTATTGTCAAAAGCAGTGGTAACAAATAAGGGTTTTTATGACAAAAGCCTGATCCTGCCATCGGTGGTCCCTTCCTGAGCACAATGTTTTCAACGTTTTCAACATAACTTGTGCAAACAGCGTCATCCTCTTTAGATCTGTCCTCAAATTCAGAAGGAAATGTGTAAATTTCTGTAAATGCTTAACTCTGCTTTTTTTCAAGAAAGCACTTACATGCTGATTAAACCATACAGCAATTGCTTGCTTTAGAAGAAATCGGCAACAGAGCAGAACCAATGTCATATCACCTGTTCCTTAACTAACATCAACTTTGATCTATCGAAATAGATATGTGGACACACAGCAAAAGGCACTGACGAGACCTGTTCTGGGATACCACCATATGTCCATGTAGTCACACATGTGCAAGGAGATGAAAAGCACAAGAGAACATCCATGTGAAGGACAGAGAGTCTGTACACTTTTTGTGAGGAGACTGAGAAAACCTGGCTCAGTTAGTCCTACAGAATGAATGCTGAGAGAGGATATGATTGCAGTCTATTAATACACCCTGAGATAAACACCGGGGAGGGATAAGAACTATTTTAGTGGAGGACAATGTTGGCAGGAGAACAAATGACTATAAGGTGGACATGAGTTACACTCATCCTAGAAATTAGAAGATTTCTAGTTAGGAGAGGACTGAGATTCTGGAGCAGCTTCTCACATCAGCAGTAGCAAGGGAAAAATACTGAAATGTTTCCCAACCAGAATCTGATCAGCTTTGGAAAGGGGCTATATGATATGGCTGCCTGGAACTGTAGGAGACCATATGAGGTGAGTGAGCAGATGCCTCCCTGTCCTGTGTTTCTTCAGTCATTCCTCCCTACCTCATAGGACAGCCACAGAGTACGCCCAGTAGAAAGTCTTTTCATTTCCTGGTTCACAGAGAAATTGAAGACATTGCTAGTTAAATCTTTTTTAAAAAAAATACATAGGATGTGCAGTTTAAGTGAGTTACTGTTCCTACACAATCCCTAATTTGTTTGTATCTCCTGGCTTTCTATTTCTTCATTTTTCACTAAACTTTTTTAATCCCTAGTGCCTCAAACCATAAAAATGCCTATGAAATAAACAATACATTACTGCTCCAACACTGACACATTCACTTGGGACCATCTGTGTGAGCTGCAGCTTGCACGTCCTGATTATCAAGAGACCCGTCGCATTCATCTCCTTTCTCACACTGCACAGCAAAGCACAGTCATCCAACCCCAGATTAGCAGTTTTTCACTCCACCACAAAGTTAGTAGTTCTAGTTTTAGTCCCCTTGTTAAGCAATGTATGCTATTACACTACCTTTACTTTGTTCTGTAACATGCTAAATTAAGTACATTAAACACAGAAGTACACAAACCAGAATATTTTTGATCTTCAGCAAAGAAAATTTCACAGTTGTTTCCTAAAGAAAATTCTTATTCAATATATATTGAAATAATAAGTAAAACTATTTTCAAGTGCCACACCTAAGATTGCAAATGTACTTTAATTCCATAGTTTTCATTAGAATTAAATACAGCTAAAGTAATAAAATTAGTCTATTCGTAACAGCAAGAAGAATTCACTCAGTTAAAGCTCATCTGATATTACACTTGATTTCATGCTGACCTTACTCAGCTGGCAGATGCTCTTCTGCTTGTGTTTTGGCTTATATGTCTGACATCCTCAACTGCAAATTAACTGTAGTTAATTTTACGCAGATTAATTCTGCTGAAAGTGACACAATAAGAGGATAGGAGGTTAAAGTCATAATGAAGTGGATGCTGGTAATGTCCACATCTGTGTTTCTAGAGTATTGGCAACATTTTAATTTCCTTGGGACTCTACATAGGATATTGTTGGAATTCTGGAAGTTAAGCCAGCAACAGAACTGCATCCAGCTGAAACCAGAGAAAATGAAAAAACCTTTATACTGTGGCTTGGAGCCTCAGGAAAAAAAAAAATAAATTGCACATTGGTGAGTGGTTTATACCTCTTTTCTAAGGAAATAAATATTGCCAGCGTTGCCACTACAGAAAAGTTCTAGGAGTCAAAGGCCAATACATCTTGCCAAGTATAGCAAAAATCTTTTATAAGACAGAAGAGATTCTGCACTAGAAATACCTGGAGCTTGTGTTACTGATTCAGAGTTCTCCAGTGTAACAATTTCTTCTCCTTTAGCATATGTAACTTGTTATATTTTTATTAAGTGCTGTTGCCATACTGACTACACGGGGTGCTGCTTGAAAATGTATTTTACACAATCTCTCTGACAGAAAATTTCATAGTAGCCATTTTTAAAGTTTCTAAAATCTACCTACTCATGTGTCTAGATGAATATCTTCTGTAATACTTATCAGGCAAATGAAATAGCTTACTTTTTCCATCTGCATTGTGATAAAGACTAGAATAAAAGAACACATGGCTAGCTTGGCACTTTGTCAAGATATTTCTTCAGTGCTACTCCCACTCAAATTCTGTGTTACTAAATCAGGGAATGGGGAAAATTTTAATGAAGATTTTTCCAGAATATTATATATTCCTTACCTGTGGGCAGTCTTTGATGTAGTGTCCCTTGTTAAAGCAGAGGTGGCATAGGTAGTTAGGAGGTGGCCTCTTGCTGGGTTTTCTGGCTTCTGAAGAAAGGGATAGGTCAGAGAAGTGCTCAGTGAGGGAGCTTAACCCATCCACAATGTTATTAAGTGAGCCATAAGGCGATGCACTCTTGTACAGACTGCTGCTCAGAGCCTGCAAAAGAAAAGAAAAACATGGCATGCAACATAGTACTGTATTTAGGATTGTTCTGAGGCAGATCTGCATAGGAGAAGGATAAAAAGAGCAGGGAAAAAGTAATTTTTCATTAGAAACATGGCTGCATATTTGAGGAGAGCAATATACAGGCCATTAATAAAGAGGTTTCACAAAGGTAGTGCAATGGAGCTGGTCACCCCACTGCTGAGGAAACTATTGAGCTTGCTATGGTTCACTTAGTCCAACCTTTCCACTAAGCAGTGATCACTTTCTTGTGTCTGACCATTCATGGTATGGTTAGATTATGCAGGCAAAAACTGAAAGAACAGCTCACAAAAAATAATGTTTTTGTGTCCAAAACTACTTACTCAAAGAATATTGAAGTCAGGGAAAGGAAAAGAACACCAAGAAAAATGCAAAGTAACTTTTAATTTCTAATCTGGTTAATCAGATAGTCAATATAGAGTCCCATGTTCAAATCATAACAAGAAACATTGAGCTCTACATCTGGTTTGGATTTTCTAAGGGGAACCCTACTGCAATTTAAACATTTCCTGATAAACAATAAATACTTGGGTTTTGTACTTCACCTTAATAGGATCTTCACTCTCTCAATCTGCAAATCTAAATCAGTAGCTCCTAATTTGCCATTCAGTAGTTTTAGAACAGCAGGAAACCCATCAACACCTAAATAGCTATTCTCCCTAATGGAGATAACAAAGATTCATTCTTTAACCTGCTAACATTCAAAAGAAACTCTAGCAGGAGTTTAAAAAGTAAATAACTCTTAAAAACATTAACATAATTATGAATTACTGTAGAAATAGGACCAACTATTGACTGTCCTTTCCACCCTCACATTATGGGACATATTTCACGTGGTGTTTTCATCTTAGGTCTGTAATGCTATGCTTATGTAATTCTCCTGGCATCAGAGAATTACTGCCAGCTTATGGGAAAGTGAGGTAAGAAACGATCCAATCTGTGCCTCTGTGGGGACCTTGTTTTTCAGTGCTATTAAATCCAAATACTTCAGTGGAGTCTTTATATATGTCATATATGTTTTTATGTATCTATACATGTTATACACATATTGAAGACATGCATTGAAACTGATTTAGAGAGTTTGTGAAATAAATCTGAAACGGAAAATACATTTATTTCAGAGACCTCAAACATTCAGGATGTCTGCACACTGAGTGTTTTCCGGCTGACAGTCACACACCAAAAGAATGATACTGAGGCTCTAGGCACAAGTACCTGGATGAGTCCCAGCTATTACTAAATCCCATCCCACTGCAGATGGTGTACACCGTAACAAAAATTCAGCCTGAGATAATCTGCTCCACCCAGTTGCACTACGGTCAAACGAAACACTGACCCCTCTTACAAAACTGAAGTTGGTGCACAGCAGCAGGATCAATTCAAAGGGCCTCAGAGTAGAATCTGATCTCACAGGGGACTTCACGTATGTCCAGGCACTGAAATGCCCATAACTGTACTCCCTGTATGGCACAGTTCTGTGCTGGTTCAGGATGTTGTGGTTGCTGAGAGGAGAATCAGCCACTTTGTTTCAGGGCTTAAAGCTGTAGATTTTAAAAGGAAAAGCTATTTCAAAAACTAATAAAAAAGATTTTAGCTGCTTTAGCCATCAAGGAACCAAAGATACCTCCAATGGTCACTGGAATTTATTGTCTAGGATTTATTGGACGCTATTGGAATGAGAAATTCTTGGCATCAAATTGTTAAAAGGAAGCGGAAGTGCTATTGATGCCAAAATAGTATTAATTAAGAGTCTCCAAGAAATTCTTGTCTCCCTAGGAGCCACTCTCTCTCTTATATACACTTGGAATAGTATAAAATCTTTAAGAGTCCTCTTGCCTTTAAGAGATTTTTAAAGTACTTCATATGCATTACACACATCAGTAACTTTGCAAATTCCTTATTATCTGATTTTTATAGAAGGTTGTATGTATGGACACACAGAACGTGTGAAATCCCAAATTCTTTACCTATTGCCAAAATCTAAAATATCTCCTGGGGACGTAGAATATGTAACTCCCACCTATCAGGAGGTTGTTATTTTTGTCTCCAGGGTTAACTCCGTGACAAAAGAAAATACACCTGTCTGCTGCCTTCAGTGGGCTTTGAATTGGATATATTGCTCACAGTGGTGACTCTTCTAAAATCCTTTACACTGAGCCATTGCCCTCATTAAAAGGGAGAAATCTGGGGATTATTTGAGAAACTGGGTATTATGTAATTCACTCCTCCAACAACTATTCTGGGCACATTTCAGGTCAATACTGTAACATAAGGTGGCCCACTCTGCCAGCAAATCCTTACAAACTTTTGTTTCAACCAGAAACTTTGTCAAAAGGCTGGAATCCCACCAGACTATGGGCTACACTGACACTAAATCATAATCTTAGCAGCCACCACTGGTTCTGTGGCCAAAGTGTGGCACGTGGCTCTAAAAGTGGCCACCTGGTTCAGCTGGCAGTGCATTTGTGCAGTACATGCCAAAGTTGGACATGGCAAAACATCCAGTTTACACATGGCACCACAAAATACTTCCCTATAATCATCTTGAGGCCCAGAGTTAAAAAAGGAAGAAACAAATACATCATCCCAGAAGATGACACTAAAGGAGAAGATGGACATTGCTGATGTCACTGGTACTTTCAAGAACAATGAATTCCTAAAGCAAATTCCTAGACAAACCCAAAATGCAGCCCATCCCTCTGGGTACAGTCAGGCAAACAGCTTCAGCAGTTCCACTTGAAAGCTGCTGTAAAGAGCACCAGCATAGATGGTGCTACATCCTGTTTCTAGCTCTGGAAACCTCCAGTTCGCCATAAGAAGGTGAGGAAATAAGCCATTCCCAAAAGCCAAGTTATATAATAAGGGTGGTAGTGGGAAAGTTCATCCTGGCCCCTGGAATCAAACAGTGAAAGCTTAGGGCATGCAATGAATGTGATGAAATGGTGTTTCAGTCCATTTTGTCTTTCTAGAAGACAAGGGGTGTATGAATAATGCTGAGATACATAAAACAGTTTTGGTTGGTTTTTTTTTCTTGCGTATTTTATTGTGCAGACTAGCAATTCAGCCCTTACTGTCTGCACTGCTGCAAAGGGGATTTCTAAGAAGGGTTTTGAATAAAAATTTTTGAATTAGCATCACACTCAAAGGGGATGTCCAGAGAATGATCAGTGACAGGGAGAATGATGATGGTCTCAGACAGAAAATAGACAGGAAGTTAAAAATGCATTCTGATTCACTGTGGTCTCAAGTGTATTGGTAGACATCTGGGATATGGCAGGGAGATAAATTCCACTGAAAGCAATGACTGCTCTGTGTTCACAGTGCACCACTAGCAAAGCCAACTCTTTAAAAAGTAGACAACAGTACCTCTCAAATGGAGTCTCTATTTTGAGCTCTAACAGGATAGGAAGGATTTGGCAGTGAAAGAGTTAGTGCTCTCAAGGCACCGCTGAAAGACCACACTGCATGTCCTAATTACAAGGCTCATCAGCCCAGCTGCAATGAATTCAGGATTTCCTTATCTTGCTGTACTGGGGGGATGGGGGACCTGACGGTAAAACTTAGAAACTGGTTTGGTGGGAAGTTCCAGCTGATAATGTAAGTTTGTTTATTTGTTTTCCTTCCTACGAAACTTGTTGACTTAGTTAACTGAACTGAAAATCTGGTGTTGTACTTTCCAAAGGTAACCTCTCTGCTCGGTAGATCTTTAAACTGTATCTGTTGCTGGTGTTGGGAAGCAAAGCTTCCTTTGTTATTTGTTTGCTGAGTGTTTCCAGTTAAAGGCTACGTAATCTGTAAAGTTGCAGTGTGGTCCTTTGTGAAAGAGGCAGCTATTGTCTTCTGTAGCTTCCTCACTCTGATTTCCAGTTGGGTAACATATGCAAGTGACTCAAGAGTTCCAGCATCTAACTCACCTCTATGAAATTCCTAGTTAAGTGAATGATTCCTTTGGCTAGGTCCCTGCCTTTCAGAGACAGCTTTTGGGATTGATGTGCCAAGAGGAGGAAAAGGAAACACTGGCTTTATCTCTACAGCTTATTTTTTAGCAGTGGTAAAATGCTGAAAATAAAGACAACAGTACTGTTAGGAATATGAAATGAAACACTTAAGTGAGTGGCAAGTCTTACTTTCCAAATTTTCCGCTGGTATGTATGGCTACTGCTTTAGCTGTAAAGGTATTTTTAACAGGAATCAACCAGAAAGCACGGATAGCACAGTAGCATCTCAATTATGAAACACTGAATTCTGACCAAAGGTGAAAGGATTGCTTATCTACCAGAACAGCTGATATAATAAGCAATGGCAACCTGTTTAAGTGGAAATGGTATCTTCTTATTTGGATTTAAGAAGTGAAGCTTTAGGTATGGACAGGAAAAGCAGAGGCGTACCTGGAAAAATCAGTTTCTACCCCAAGTGCAGTTCGTAACTGCTGGACCCTTAAGGCAATGATAAGGGGTTCGTATCCATTAGTTACCTGAAGCTAGAATGACCTGTGCTGGTTGACATGATTGATAGGCTGTATCTGGCCAGTAGATCTGTTTGATGCTCTTTAAGTTAGTTTGATTTGTGCTCATGGTTCTCTCCATGTCTGTTTTAACTGCACATACTGAAGTGAGGTCCTGTAGCATTTCAACATTCCTATAACTTATTCCAGTTATCAATGTTTCCATAAAATAGTCTGTAATTGAAAAGCAATGAGCAAAGAATTTCTGATGACTTGTTTTTGCTTCAGTATGTTGCCAACCTAATAAAGCAAACAAAAATAAAGCAGTCCTAACTGCCAGAGTTAAGCTTAAGTCACCAGGCACCATGGCTCTTTGAGTTGGCTGCCCTGTCATCAGTGTGGAAAAAGTAAGGTTTTCATATACTGTAAATTGTAAACATTCTCCAGGCTGCATGATGGTAACCAGACTAGGCATGCTAATTATTAGCCCTGCACTGAAATGTCAAAA